TACTTCTTTAAAGAAGCCTAGTGTCAGGGGAAGGCCCGTTTAATGTGTGGTGGGGGCAAAAGACTGAATCTGGGCCTTTATTATCAACAGCTCCACCTCTATCCATTGGAGCTGTTGCTCTCCACAAAGGTTCAGAAGGCCAAAATTCAGTGATGGATAGTCAACAACAGGGAGGTGCAGCCTGGACATTTCTGCCCACATGAACCTGCTATTGTACTCTTTCAAGAGATCAAACCTTTAGCCTTCTGTCGAAGTAAGGATTGGTAGTTGGGGAGTAAGTCTGGAGTTCTAACAGCTTCTTACGCAGACTTTTGACTAATCTTTTTTTTTAAGCTCCACCTTCACTCCCATATCCAGAGAGAACTTGTACCCCAATCCTTTCCTTTGGTTGGGGCTGTACAGTGTAATTGGATTTGGTCCTCAGATTTTACCAATATGGTATAGGAGGTCTTTGGGACTGGATAGTAAGATGTAGGTGTCAGTCACTGCTCATAAAAAGAAGGGGTTGGTCAGACCTGGCCAGGTAGCTCAGTTGGTTAGAATGTCATCCCAATGCTCCAAGGTTGTGGGTTTGATCTCCAATCAGGGCACATATAAGAAGCAACTGAATGTATAAATAAGTGGAACAACAAAACAGTATTTCTCTCTCTCTCTCTCTCTCTCTCTCTCTCTCTCTCTCTCTCTGTCTCTCCCTTCCTCCCTCTCTCCAATCAATTTTTAAAATTAAAAAAATAAAAAGATGGTCTTATAGAAATTTACCTCTTGCCCTGGCTGGTGTGGGTCAGTGGATTGAGCACAGGCCTCTGAAGCAGAAGGTCACCGGTTCGGTTCCCGGTCGGGGCACATGCCTGGGTTGTGGGCTGGGTCCCTCATAGGGGACATATGAGAGGCAACCAAACATTGGTGTTTCTCCCTCACTGTTTCTCCTTCCTGTCCTCTCTCTCTAAAAAATAAATAAAATATTTTAAAAATAAAAAAAAGAAATCTACCTCTTCATCAGTAATTAGGGGTGAGGGAGAGATGTTTCCACATAGGGGGTAATATATTAGGGACCTGTTCTAGCAGAGAGATTTTCTAATTAGAGATATCTAAAGATGGGGTAATGTGTCAGTCAATAGGGGCTGTATGGATGGGTAGATGGGGGTTTATGAATGGAAAGAACTTTAAACAGTCTTATCAATGAGATAGACAGCAATGGTGGGTATTTCTGAATGGGAAGATATGACAAGTTAAGTCATCAATAGGATTACTTTGATGGACATATCTGAATGGGGAGATATGCCAGTGGATCAAGATATATGAATAGGGAGATTCATCAGTAGAGGTTGTCAGTGGAAATTATATGATAGAAAGACATTTCTGAATAGAGAAATTTGTCAACTAGGTAGTCACTAAGGGATATGCCAATGGGTGGACAATTATGAAGAGAGATATTTGTCACTGGAGTCTACCAGGGGTGACAGATTGCTGCTGGGTATTTGTGAATAGGGAGATTTGTCAACAGGGGTTATCAATATAGATATGTCAAAGAGGTATTTATGGATACAGAGGTAGCTCAACAGAGGTATTTGTTAGTAGAGTATTTGTGAAAGAAGGGGTTTGTACAGTCAGGAGAGGGGACTTTTTAATTAAAGGAAAGATTTCCTAGGCATTATAGATTTGTCACCTGTAGTCTTGGTGAGAGTAGAGATTTATAAATGTAGTTTTTCATCCATAGCAAACACTGCATAGTGGGAACATTATCACTGAGGGGAGGGGTGGTCCTCAGAAGTCTTGAAAATGTTGGTATTTTTCAGTGGCAGGATTTGCAAACTGGGAAACAGTATACAAGAATCATTGTAATAAGAAAAACAACTAATGAGCCCCTGGCTGGTGTAGTTCAGTGGATTTAGTGCAGGCCTGCAAAGCAAAGGATCATGGTTCTATTCCCAGTGAGGGCACATGCCTGGGTTGCAGGCCAGTTCCCAGTGGGGGATGCAGGAGAGGCAACCATACATTGCTATTTCTCTCCCTCTCTCCTTCCCTTCCCCTCTAAAGATAAATAAATAAAATCTTAAAAAAAAAGAAAAACAACAAATGAACATAATAAATATTTGAAACATCTGTGGGGGAGATTATCAGGATTATGAATTATACTGAGGTTTCCAGGGTACATTAAGTTATTCCTACTGATATTATATGTTATTTCCAATATTAGAAATGGTCATTCCTAATTTTAAACACTATTTGCAAAGTTATACATTAAATTTTATTTATCATACTACTAATAATTAATACTTGTAATGCTATGTGCCTACCACTGTTCCAGGCAATTTATATGTATGACTTCATTTAATGCTCACATTGTTCCTATGAGTTAGGCATTTTTATCCCTATTTTAAAGATGTGGAAACTGAGGCACAAAGAGGTAATGTGATTTCCCCAAGGACACAGTGCTAATACATGGAAGAGGCAGGATTTGAATACAAGTGACCTGGCTTCAGCATTCATACTCTTAATCATTATACTATATTACCTATCTAGAAATTGAATCACTGTTAGTAATATTACACATGAAGTGATTGTTCGAAGAGTTTTGTGTGTTGACCTGAAAAAATTACCGAGGGGTGAATACACCCATGGATCATCCTCCAACCCTAGCACAGACCTTGGAAGGATTCTGGGTAGGGACTGTGAAGCCCATTTTTTATGGAGAAGGACTGAGGCTTGACTGAGGGAAAGGCCAGCCCCCAGGCTACCCATTGAGCTGGACACCATGCTGAACACCTCACACACAGGGCTGCCACCCCCATGTGCTTCCCCTCAGCCATCAGGGTCTCTCCCAAGCAGAGATTCACAGATACACAGAATGCTGGGGTAGGGGTGAGGGTAACTTACTTTACTCACTTTAGTGGGTTTTCTAGAAGTGTGATGGGGAGATATAGTGACCTCAGGACTACAGATACCCTGCCAGGAGCTCCTGCCGGGGTGTGGGGGAGATGGCCTTGTATGTTGCCCTGTACTCTGTGAAAAGGGCTGCAGTAGAGTACATCCGGGTGGTCCACTCTGCCTTGAAGCACTAGTGTTTTGATCCAGGGCGCCACCTGAAAATGGGCAGGTTGGCAGGACAATGGCCTTCACACTGGGCTCCATCTTTCACCACCACTTTCTATGTCATGTTCCTCCCAGGGGTTAAAATGGCTGGGGGCTCAGGGAACAAACAGCATAAGAGTGCAGGCAGCTTTTGGTACTAGGGTTTGGTGAACTATTGGGAACTGCCAAACTCTTGCAGGCAGTTGAGGCAATAGTGACATAGCCACAAGGGCCAAACCAGGGCCTAGGCCCTTCCCTTACAGTTATACCCATCACCGAGGGCTGCCATTTACTCCTTTTGGTAGCCAGGGTTCAGAACCCACCCTCCCAAAGTATTACCAAGGTGTATATGTTGACGTAGAAATTGTTACTGTAATGGGTGTCCCCTGCTCAAGCAGATAAACCCTGAGTTCTTAAAATCCATCCATCCTGACCTGGGACATATCTTGAGCCCTCAGGGGAGCCTCCAGTAGTGCAAAAGGACAGGACCACAAAGGATCCCAGGGGCCATGCTTGGAGATCCAGAATACCCTGGAGGAGACCCAGGTTCTTACTGGCAGGAGCAGTGGATAGTCCAGTGGGAAGGAATTTGGGGGGCCTTTCTTTTACCAAAAAGACATAGTGGAGACTTTTTTCCAGCAGACTCAGGTCAACAGGTCACTTGAGTATTCCACTGAATGTTTGTACCTATCAGAATTTCTGGTTCCTGTGAGCCTCACTTAAATCAAGACCTTTGGGGTGTAAGAGGCAAGAGCCAGGAACTGGAAAGGGCCCAGAGGGGCCTGGACTCAGCTGTGGGAGCAGGAAAAGCCTAAAGAAGGGGGTGTTGGGAGGATCTCTTGCTCAGGTCTTATGGGGGAAGATAAACCAGAAATGTGAGCCTCTAGTCTAGAAGCCCGTTTTGGCGAGGGGGCCACTGTGTAGAAGGAGATATGGAGAGACGTGGAGGCTGATGTTCTTGATTGCTTTTGATTTTGAAACCTTACCTGCACTTCATTTCCGTTAAAGTTGGTCAGAAGAGTGATGAGAGGAGAGGTCGGAGAAGGGGGAGAAAGGGATTTCTGCCCATCTTTCCTATTCCCCAAACAGCCGATTCCAAGCAATCTCCCCGAGGGAGGCCATAGTGAGGGAGGGGAGGCCAAGGCTCCTCCTCCTCCCAGACTCTGTGGCTGCTTATGTGGGGCTTGGGGGTCTGGGACCCCTGGGGCTTTCCCCTTTTGCTCAAGTCAAGCTCCCAGTACAAAACCCAAGGATGGGGACAATAACACCCACAGGCTTGGATGGGGCAGGACATCCTCACTGGGTGACATTAGGACAATGCCCAAGGAGAGGAAAGCTGTTAGCCAATTGATACGGCATTTGTCAGTGGGGGATTTGTGAATGTGGGAATTTGCCAATGAGGTAGTGATTTGTCAAGCAGTGGGTAATTTATGAACCACAGAGCCCTGTGCAAATAGGATTTATAAATTAGTCTAGTGAAATGTTTTAAAGTGTTGAGAGATTATCCGATAAACTGTATTTGATAACACGGGTTAAATTACTGACATTGCAGATCACCAATGGTAATGTCAATGGAGAGAATTATGAGGTTCTGGGACCAGTGGAAGTATCCTCAGCACTCTCCATGGCTGGGATGTGGGGAAACCAGATGTCAGGGGCATCCCCAAGGCATTAAACCCTTTAAACACCTGTTCATGGCTGAGGAAGAGTCTCTTTTAATGACATGACCCTCCTCCTCCACCTTCTTCATATAGCATCTTGAGATCACACCTAACTTCCTCCCAACCGATGGGCAGAGGCTTTTTGTTTTTAATATAAAAAGCCAATACCTTGCACCCCTTATCCCCTCAGCATCTGTCCCAGGGTGCTCCCACCAGGTCATCAGTGATATGGGTTTGTTCCCAGACACGACACAGGGACACTGCCTGCTGAGTGGTAGGTCTTTATTTCATTGTCTTGAAGAAACAAAGACAGGAGTGGGAAAGGGGATGAATACTGTGCGGGTGTTGGCTTCTGCTGGGGGCAGGATTCAGGCAGTCCGGGGGCGCAGGGACTGCCAGGTGCACATCCCTGGCTTCCGTGGGAGGCAGGCAAGGTGGCGGCTCTGGAGGCCCTTGTCAGAGCCTGTGAGCAGTTGGTCTGTCCACAAGCAGTGAGTGTCACTCTGCAGTTTGCAGGGAATGGATGAGCAGGGAAACACCTGAAGGAGGAGAGGGAGACGCATCTCTGAGGGCTTCTCCTACCCCCGAGTCCCCTATGGAGAATTTTCCCCTCCCCAGCATTCATCGTTGAGCTGTATCCACCTGGATACAGACTCAAGAACAGTTCCTCCCATTTGGGGAATAGTCACTGGACTCGATGAGGTGACAGTAATCCAGTGAAAGGATCAGTTTCTTGGTGGTTGGGGGCACTTGTGGGGGTCAGTCAGGTGAGTCTCCTGAGAACTATCCCATAGGACAGGGAACAACTGGCCGTAACAGGGAATAGCTGGTAGATGGAGAACTTAAATATAGGAAGGAGCTGTGGGGCTCAGATAAAGTCAGTGGGGAACAGCATTTGGGTTCTTGGAGAACATTCTAGAGAATCAAGAAACAAACCCAGGGGAGTCGGGAACAAACATCAGCACTACAGAATAGTCACAAGGGAAAGTTAGAGGGACAGAAAGCAGCTAGAACAGTGAATTCCCAGGTGTGAGGCACAGGGCAGAGGAACATCCAGAATGTCCAGAACAGTCTTAGGTTTAAGGGAACAGCAAGGAAGATCAGGGGTAACCCAAAGGTTTGGGGAGCAGCCATTGGAAGGAGTGAGAAACAAACCGTGGTTTAGGGAAGAGCCCAAGGAGCCCTCCCCAGGTGGCAGGCAGGGCCCAGGCACTCACTGTGCATTCCTCACAACCAGCAGTGTAGAGCTTGGTGAAGCCCCGGCGCTGAGCAGGGCTCAGACTGTTCCAGGGAGCCACGAAACTGCAGGTGGTGATGTGCAGGTGACCATTCCACAGTTGTCCTGGGGAAGGGACAACAGGCAGCTTCTGATTAGCTGGGGCAGGTGGTGGGGGACTGGCAGGGTGGCCTGGCTTGGCATCCCTGGAGTACAGACTCTGCTGGGGGCCTTCTGATAGGCTGAAATTGGGGTGCTCCCTTCCCTCAGAGCCTTGCCCAGTCAGGGTTGCCCTGCAGCATCTGAGGGACAGGTAGCATGGCCCAGGACTAGGGGGCGGAGCCTCACCAGCGATGAGAAACTCCTCACTGCGGTTCTGGGACTGGTGGAAGTATCCACAGACACTCTCCATGGCCGGGGTGTAGACAAACTGGATGTCAGCAGCATCCCCCAAGGTGCTGAACCCTTTGAACATCTGTCGATGGGTAAGAAGAGGAGTATCTTTTACTGACATGATCCTTCCACTCCACTTTCTTCATATCGCATCCTGAGATCACAACTAACTTCCTCCCAACGGATGGACGGAGGGTTTTTTTTTGTTTTGTTTTTGTTTTTTGACAGGGAGATAGATGTTAGGAACTGCTGAGGAAGGGGCAGGAGGAATACCTTGGTCATCTTTATCTCATAACGCTGGTATAAGGTGGTCTGGTTGACTTCTGCTGTCCCCATGAACTTGGCCCTGATGACTGCAGGAGAGGAGAGGAAGAAACAAGTCAAATGGACTGTGTGAGCCAGTAAAAACAAAACAATCACGACAGTCATACTAGCAAAGCACATACTTAAATAGGGATCGCTGGATGCCAGACAACACACTGAGAGATTTGTACATTTGTTCAATGATGCACCTATACATGGAGTGCCCACTCTCTGCCAGGTACTGCTTTAAGCCTTTTTCATATAGTCATCATATGTTCATTCACTGAACAAATATTTTGGAATGCCTGCTGTATGCCAGGCACTGTCCTGGTAGTTAGGATCACAACAGTGAACAAAACACAGAAATTCCTTCCCTTGTGGAACTCGCATTCTAGCCAGGAGGACAAAGGCTAAAACACAATCAAAATAGATAAGTCTATTCAGAACTGGATAAGGGGAATCAGGAGTACTAGGGGACAGGGGTTAAATTTTTAGGAAGGTAACATTAGAGGCAGCCATCCATATGGATACCTGGGGAGACGGGTGTACCAGGCAGAGGGAGCAGCCAGTACAAAAGCCCTGAGGAGGGACTGGGCCTGGAGCAATCAAAGGAAGCCAGTGAGAATACCAGTGTGGCAAAAGCAGAGTCAGGGCAGGGCTGAGTGGAATTGTTCTAGAGGTGAGCTCCATCCTGAACCCCACTGGACTGAGAGGGAAAGTAAAGCACAGTGTGTGAGCAGAGTGGGCTACACTTACCAAGGTCAGAGCTGCAGAAGGCCATCTGTGGGTGGGGTGGGGCACAGGTACAGGCCAGGCTGGGGCCTGTCAGACACAGTAACAACAGGATGCCGGAGGCCAGGGGCATAAAGGGGGCCATGGTGGGTTCTGCAAGAGTGGGGAGGAGGAGTTAGTCAGCCTCCACCCCAGCTGATCCAAGGACCTAGGCAAGGCCTCCCACTCCATCCTGCTCCACCTTCACCAGAGACAGGATTAGGCTGCCACGCTTGGGCTAGAGGGGTTGGGGAGTTTGGGGATTTTAAGGGGGTGGGTATTTGAGAGCCCAGAGGATTTTAGGAGGCTAGGGGACTGGGAGAGTTTCAGAGTTGTGGAGTGTGTTTACGGGACTGGGTAAGTGGGTAGATTATGGGGTTGTGGCATTTGGGGAAAAGGGGGCTGGGGGAGTTTGAAGACTTAGTGGGGTTTGGGAATTCAGAAAGTAGAGGAGTTGGGGGTAAGGAATTTTTGGTTTGGGGAACTGTAGGAATCTGAGGGGAGGTTGGGAGTTTCAGGGTTATGCATATTGAGAGAGAGAGAGAGGAGGCCGGGAAGTTGAAGGAGGCTGAGGAATTTGGAGGAGGTTGGGGGGTTAGGAGTTGAAGAACTGGGGGGCTTAAGGGGAGATCCCAGAGGCATTTTGGAGCAGGCGAAGTTTTGAGGTTTCTAGAGAGTTGAGGATTTAGGTATCTGGGTTACTGGTGGAGCTGGGGAGTTGTGGGAGCTTCAGGGGTTTGGGTATAGGGGATCTGGGGGGGGCAATGAGGAAATTTAGGGGAGGTAGCCATTTGGGAAGCCTCTGTGGTAGTAAGGGCTCATGAGCTTGGGGGACTTGGGATGGATATCAGGGGTTGGACGGAATTTGGAGCAGTTCCAGCCTCACCCCACCCCCAACCCGTCCTCTCCCCCTTGACCAGCCCAGGGTCCTGGTGCTGCCTTTCAGGCCGAGCAGCCAGATGTCCCGCAACAGCAAAGTTCCAGCCCAGCCCTGAGGCCGCCCAGGCCCCTGCCTACCTCTGGTGTATCCTCTCTAGACGCTGGGTCTGCAGCGATGGCGGCAGTGCCTGAGCGGCGGAGGATAAATGTCCACGCGAGGGGCGGGGGTGGCAGCGGTGCGGAAACCACAGGCCTCCAGGCTTCCTGGATGCATTACTCATCCACCCACCGTCAGTAGTGGCCAAGGGGCGGGCCGAGGGCTGCCCGAAAAGAAACTTTAGCCTCCTGAACTCCCTCCCCCTGGGCCTCGCCCTGCTCATCTCCCTCCCCCATCTCCAAGTCTGGTCCCAGTCCTTGCAGGCGGCCTCAGTGGAGAGCTTTAGAGTCGGGATTCCCCTAGTGCAATCACCTAAAGTCTTCAAACTCTCCATAGTCTATCCAATCACCTGCGCCCACAAACTCCCCATGGATGAAGCCCAAATTAATTCATTTCGTGAAAAAACATTTGTTGTGCACCTACTGTATACCGAGCACACACTGAAATTCCTGTCTGGTAGATCCTTACATTCGGATGAAGGATGGGGAGGCAGAGAGGAGACTGAGTAGAAGCAGTGGAGAGAGATAAAGCAGGTGAATGGAGGAGGAATACAATGTGGGGTAACTGAGGCACTGAGAGATTAAGTTGACTTTTTGAAGATCACAATAGGTGACACAACTGGGATTTGAACTCAGTGGCCTGAAGCCAGAGCCTGGATCTTAACCCTGCTCAGAAAATACAGGCAAATAGCATTTATGTAGCACCAACTGTGTACCAGGCATTCAGCATAATTTATCTCACAAAGGTCACAATTTTTGCAACAACATGGTGGATCTAGGGACTGTTATGCTAAGTGAAATAAGCTAGAGAAAGACAGATACCATATGATTTCACTTATATATAGAATCTAAAACACCCCAAACCAAACCAGACACATACTCATAGATACAGAGAACAAACTGGTGGTTGCCAGAGGGTAAATGGGGTGCGTAAAATAGGTGAAGGGGATTAAGAACTACAGACTTCCAGTTATAAAATAAGTAAGTCATGGGGACGCAATATATAGCACAGGGAATATAGTTGATAATACTGTAATAAGTTTGGATGGTGACAAATGTTAACTAGAATTGTCACGGTGATCATTTCATAATGTGTAAAAATATTGAACCACTATTATGTACACCCGAAACTAATATAATATTTATGTCAACTATGATTTAATTTTTAAAAAACTCATAATAAGCCTCCGAGATAAGCACCGATTTTTTCCCCATTTTACAGATGAGGAAACATGAGGCATAGAGGAACTGAAGAACTTTCCCAGGATCACAGGGCATGGCGGGGATTTTAATTTATGCCAGCTGGCCTTGGGATTTTAACCCAGGCTTGGCATGCTAGGGAAGGTGCTGGTGGATTAATGAGCACTGGGGTGGGGGGAGTTGAATGATGAGGAAAGAGACCAGTGAGTCAGGAGAAAACTGATACTCTCCCATCCTGTCCTGCCCCTTCCCCACCAACTCCTCCCCTATCATGCCCCTGGTAGGGGGTGGGGTGCGGCAGTCCCTGCCTGCCAGCTTCCAGATGCTACCTGACTCTTCCCTAGGGTCCTGGGAAAGGGCTCTGAGGGCTGACTGACGTCCTTCAGTTGTTCAGGGAGGACAGACCAATAATAATAATAAGGATAGTGATGATACTAGTCACTTACTGAGCAGTTACTGTGTATTGTGCCCTGAAGTCTGTGTAAATTCTCTTCACTCTCCATTGCCCTCTTTCTAATTAAGCCAGATTAATTCAGGGAGGTTAACCCAATCAACAATACCATCACAACAAAAACTACCAGCGCTTATGGAATGCTTAATGGACATCAAGCACTGTTCTAAAATCTTTGTTAGTTCATCTCTCAGTCGATCCAGATTGGTTCCTTGTTAATGTTGGCTAACCAAGAGATGTTAAAGCAGTAATTATAATAGTACCTAACACTTTTGGAGGATGCAGACTTCCTGTGCTCCAGATAGTGTGCTAAGCATTTTTCCCGACATAACTAATCTGTTTCTCACAATATCCCTATGAGTTAGAGACTGTTCATATTCTGAGTATGCAGATAGGAAACTGAGAAAAAAGATTGACTGGCCTGCCCAGGAATGAGAGTGAAGAAATGACTGTTGGGGAGACCAAGGGGGGGGCAAAAGACGTAAAGCAGGAGTTTGGAGAAGCTGATTGTGAAAGTGGGGGAGTGAGAGTAAATGAGACAGGGGGCTGAGTAACTCAGTGGTGGGGGCCAAAGGGAGAAATGAGGGAAGGGAAAGTCCTGATGCAACCCCTCGCTGACCGTGGTTTTGACGCCAGCTGAAACCTGAGTCAGCACAGAGTTTTGCTGTCTACATGTAAAGGGTTGTGTGGATCCAGGTTATTGTGCAGGTTTTGAAAAATTGGTGGGGTTTCATGGAAGAGGATCTGGGTGTGTGACCATCTGAGGAGCTGGGTGTGAGGGTGGGTGGCCCTGGGGCCCAACTTGGTGTGCAGACGGATACCTAGCAATCTCCACAGCACACCAAGTGTTTGGACCTGATTGTGCCCTTTGTACAGATCAGGAAACTGAGGTACGGGGAGTATTAAGTATACTTCCTGGGGTCCCACATGGTTTCGGGAAGAGGAGAGGCCAAGATTCAAAGCTAGGTTTCTCCAGAGGATCCCAGAGTGCAGAGCTCCACTCATGCACACATGTGCAGGCACACATACACATGTCCACAGTGTTGTATTCAGGCCCAGGTCCAGAGGAAACAAGGAGGGTTTATAAAAAGAGGAGCCTAGAAAACCTGCTGTGTCTGTGTGTGTCTGTGTGTGCTTGCACAGCTCTCTAGCATTCTGCTGTGTCCCTGCCCCTGAGGCTTGCCTGTGTGCCTTTCAGGTTGTGTGTGTATGGTGTATGTTTGGGCCTGAGTGTTTTGTGTTGTTTCTGGCAGTTGAGTGTCTGCCTCTGTAAAGCAGGTAGGTTGCACATGTAATTGTAGATGTTTCTCCTCTCTGTGAGCTGTGAGTGTGCCCGAGTGTTACGTCAGCCGCCGCCTCTGCAGTGTTCCCCTGCAATTCTGTCTACAGGATCCTCGAAAACCCCCATCCAACACGGTGCCTCTCTCAGTGCCCCATAGTGACGCCAGTCATTTGGGAAATGAGGAAGGTGGGAGTGCAGAGGGAGGGTGATGCCTTAAGGGCAATTGGTCACCCTGAGCTTGCGGGCTTCCTGTGCCTGTCGGGAACTGGGAACCACTGCTGCCTCAGCCACCCCTCCGGGAATGCCATCTCTGTACCCTGTGGGGCAGCTGTCTGCACAGCAGATGGAGGGTGTGGCCCTATGCGCATCCATATTATGGTAGAGCTGGAGTCGCCCAACCTGGTCCCCTGGATCCTGCCCAGGGTTGGGAAACTTGAAGCATCACTGCACCTGAACATGTGAGCATATGAGAGTGTGTGTGTGTTTGTGTGTACACACCCAGGACTGTTCTCTGTATGCTTAGGAGGGTTGTGGTGTCTCTGGCTGTGTGCACGCCTCTCTTTTTGTACATACGGCAAGGCGTGTTCTGTCCCTAGATACACTTTTTGTGTGCCCAGGAGTGGTGTGGGTCTCAGTGGTTTCTGTGAGTATCCAAAAGTGTGTCTCTCTGTTTATTGTGGGTATATCTAAGGGTGTTGCATGTGTGTCTGTTGACTATGTGCCCAGTTCTGTTGTGTGTGCCTTTCAGGGTTGTGTATGCCTCTGCTTTCTATTGTTGTGCCCTGAGGGTTGTCTTTGTATTAATTACATGAGTAATATTCTGTGTTGTGTGTCCCTCTGTTGTGTGGATTTGGATGATGGAAGGGGGCTGTATGTGTTCCCTCACTCAAAAGTGTTGAGTGTGTGCCGCTGGGCAAGGAAGCTGGCCAGAAATGCTGGTCGGTTCCCACCCCACACTGTGAACGCCAGGCTAGATAAATGACTGACTGTGGGTGTCTACACAGTTGGAGAGTGTGATGTGCCCCAGAGCCTGTGTTGGTTGCAGATCTCTCCATCTCACGGGTCTCAACATGCGTGGGCATGTCTGGGCTTGGTTGTGTAGCTCTGAGTTTTGAGGGTTTGTGTGTGTGTCTAGGTTGTGAATGTGTGTGGACAAGGCTTACATACAAGGCCTGGCTGAGGGGTCCAGTTGCTACATGTTCACCACCACACCCCCATGCACGCACGTCCACACATCACTTCTCTATCATCCAGTCACTGTATAAACAAACTTTCCCTTTTCCGGAAAAGGCCCCCACCCTTGCCTCTGCCTGGGAAAGCAGGGGCAGGAAGTCTGGAGGTGGGGGAGGGAGGGACAGGCAGACAGGACTCTGGGTTTGATTATGAGCTCAGAGGTGCTGTGTGACCCCCAGCTGCCGTCTGCCTGCCTCTGACCTGTCTCTTCTGGGAAAGGGCTCCTCATGGGGCTCCTGCTGGATGGGATCCCCTCAGCATCACCCCAACCCTGGCAATCAGCCCTCCTGCCCTGACCATGCTCTGCTTTCTACCCTACCAGCTCAGCAGCACAACGTACCCCGTGGTTGTGAAGATGGGGCATGCGCACTCCGGTATGGGCAAGGTGAGTCCCCGGGTTGAGTGTGTCCCTGCATTTGTAAATGGTGTATGCTCCTGGCATTTGCTTATGTATGTAGATGTATATTGTGTATTCAGCGCACACCAGTAATTCTGTATGGTTGTGTGTCCTGTGGTGTTTTTATCTATTTGTATCTTTTCCCTCATATTCTTACATTTTGTTCGCCCAATTTTCTGACATGTAGTCAGCTAGTTTTATGTGTCCTGTTATTTTGTTAGTGTATACAGTATTGTATCTGTGTATAGGTATGCATCTGTATTGAACACACACTACATAATCTTTTACATCCAGGAGGCCTTGGGGCCCTGTATGTTTTCCATCTGATTTTTGTCTCTGTATATGTAAAAAGCAGACTTGTAATTTGTATGTTGGAGTGTGTCTGTGCTTCTGTTTGTATATTATGTATACAATTGATTTTGTGTCTGTGTGCGTATACTATATATATAGTTTTCCCACAGCTTTATTGATAGAATTCACATACCATACAACTTAACTATTTAAGATGGACGATTCAATAGTTTTTAGCATGTTCAGGGTCATATACACCCAACT